CCATGTCCATATGCTTGTTTGGCTACTAATTGCAAGGATCTGACATGTCTTCTTGTTAATCTATCTTGTTTACTACTAAAAGGGTTTAAATGTTGTATTTATTTTTATTGTAGAACCACAAAGGAGCAGAAAAGTTCAAAGACAAATCTTTCCTTTCTAATGAAGATTTATGTATAATATTTGAAAAGGATCGGTTACTAGTATAGAGGCACATGCCCCGACTGATGTGTTGGAAGAATTAAGAATTGGACAAATCTTTCTACTTTTTCAATTTGTTGTCATTTATTGATTTTTATTATTCTTTCAGTGAATTTTTTTATTATTTGATTCTTTGTGACTATTTATTGCACATTTAATCATATTTTTCAAATTTTAAAATAACAAAAGTACTCATTGTAATAGATTATGTTAATTAAGTTAGAAATTCTATAATAAAAAAGTTATTTTGGTTAAATTTCATTCAATTTCAATAGAAATTATTTTATCCAAACATTGAAATGGAATGCGCATTCCATTTCAACACTCAATCCCAATTAATTACCAAACATTGGAATGGTAATATACATTTCATTCCATTCAGAAGTTAATTTCATTCTTGTATGCATTCTATTCCTATTTAATGACATTACCGCGTATGAAACGCAATGTTAGTGCTTTGAACACAATGACACAAGAATATCATAGTGACAAACCAACAAATTCATAACACAAATCAACAAAAAAATACTAAACATCAATAAAATATCACAAATTAAGTAGTTGTATTCAGCAAATAAAAATGGCAGTTACACTCCACAATAACAATGAAAAAAAAACTAAGATAAAGCAGATGCATTCCTTAAGCTGCAGCGGATTGAACAACAACAAAAAAAACAAAATAACATTTCAAAATTAATTTCCAAAAAACTGATGAATAAACAATTTTTAACATATTGACACAAATTCCCAAAGAAAACAAAGTCACCTTCACCAGAATCAAAATGAATGTTAGCTTCTTCCTTGAGTTGTAGAGCACGAAAAAAGTGAACCGTGTGGTTAATGGAGTTATCTTGAAGATAGAGACAAATCTTTGGCATAGTATGCATATATATATACATCCATGTCTAATTCAAAATTCAAAATATTTTCAATAGAACAGTAATACATATCATGCAATATGCATGATATGCTTAGGGTCAATTTAGTAAATAAAAAACAAAAAAAAAAATTGTGAATCTGCTTGTCAAATATTACATATCATGTGTACAGTACAGTACATATTTGTACTTATTGGCAAATATATATATTGACTTTGAATTTTCATTGTAAAGTGTGTTGTTACTAGTGTTTGCCAACCCCTGATCCACCCAAACTTAATCTGTTGGCACACCACACCTACACTCAACGGATTAATTGTCTACAACATCACACATAGCCATCCGGTTGAAAGATATAATTTATTTTTTAACATATTTCCTATTTTTAATAAAATAAGTAGAGTAACGACTATACAATCACAACTGTATTTACTTTTACAATGGGTACGTTGGGAGCAAGTTAGAAGAATGTCAAGTACATGATTGCAAGAATATAAACTTATTATTTTCCATACTATAATTTTTCAAGAACTAAGATTCATAAAGTCCACTAATATATATTAATCGTTTTTTCAGATTTTAAAATAAAACAACTTAATACACTAAATCCTCAATATTCAACATTGTATTTTTTAGCATGTAATTTCTGTTTTAATAAAAATCTAAGTTCTAACCATCTTTCCCACATGATCTCACCAGCCTAAAAAGCAAAACCTTAAAGGCTTAAACTAGCTACTACCCGTTTCCATTCCAAACGATATGAATGGCCTCCAATATATATATACTAATTATTTTTCATGTCTGAAAGTACAGAGTAATAAAAAAAATTAAAAAAAATGGTTAACGATAAACATATTTATATTCACACCCAAAATCAAATCACAAAGATAGGAGAAAGATGAATGAATTTAAGCACCAGATGTAGTAGGAGTGAGCAGTGGTAGTGGTGGTGGACAACAAAAGTAGTGGTGGGTGATAACGATGGTTGTGGTGGGTGACAATGACCGTTGGTGATGGTGGGGTGGTGGAGGTGGTGTTGGTAAGAGTGATGGTGAGACAGTAGCGATGGTGGCAAATTGGCAGCAACGCTGGTGATGGTAAGGGTGATGGTGGGACAATAGCAATGGTGGTGGGGATGGTAGTGGTTGTGGGGTGATGGTAGAGGTGATGGTGAGATGATGATGGTGATTGTTGGTGAAGAGACAGTGGTGGCAGTGGTGGGGGTGGTGATTGTTGTAGGGGTAGGGGTGGGGCGGTGGGGTGGTGGTGGTAGAGTGACGGCAACGGTGGTGGTGATGGTAATAGCGGTGGTGATGATGGTGGTGGTGGGGTGGTGGTAGTTGTGGTGCCAAAAGTGGTAGTAGTGGTGGTGCAGTGGTTGTGATGGTGATGGTCGTGCGGGGATGGGGGTGGGGGTGGTGGGGTTAGTGATTGTGGTGGTGGTGGTGGAGGTGGGGTAGTGGGTGTGGTGGTGGTGGTGGGGGGTGGCAGCAACAGTGGTGGTGGTAGTTGTTGTAACAGAGGTGATGGTGGAGTGACAGTGGTGGTGGTGGTGGTGGAGCGGTTCCAAATACTACTTTTTTTTTTAAATACTTATGAGAAATTATAAGTTTTACAAACACTTTTAAAAAGTTATCTCAAAGACACATTTAAAAGCCTATTTTCCTATTAAATTTGAGGTATTAATATTAGCCGTCGGATTCACTTTAAAGTAAAATTTAAAGAGATCTTAACTACAAAAAGTAAAAGTCATTCAATTTATCTTTTAAAATTTAAATTATATTGTATTTTATTATATAGATTAGTTATTTCCCGTACTTGAAAGCACGGAGTAATAAAAACAATAGTTAACAATAGACATATTTGTATTCACATCAAAAATCAACTCACAAATATGGAGGAGACATATTTGTATTAAGTATCGGTTGTAGTAGGAGTGAGCGGTGACAGTGGTGATAGGCGGCAATGGTAGTGGTGACAGTCGTGGATCGTAATAGTGATGGTAGTGGTGGTTTTTGGGTGCCAATGATGGTAGTGGCAGCCATAGGTGACAGTGATTGTAGTGGTGGGTGTGGGCAATAGTGATAGTGGTTGACAGTGGTAGTTGTGGGGGCGATAATGAGTGCTTTTTGGGTAATAATGTGATGGGTGGTGACAAATGGCGATAGTGATGGTGGTGGTAGGTGTGGCGGGGGTTGGTGACAATGGGTGGCGACAGTGATGGACGACGACGGGTGGTGGTGGATTGTGGTAGTATGGTGGTGTGGGTGACAATAGGTGGCGACAGTGATGGACGACAACAAGTGGTGTTGGGTTGTGGTAGTGGGTTGATGGTGGTAGTGATAATAAATATAAGAATGATATAAAGATAATGATGGTTGGTGGCGGTGGACGATGTTAGTACCAATCAGTGATGGGTGGCGATAGTGGTGGTGAAGGTGCGATAAGGGCAGAGGTCGGGCAATGGCGGTGGTGGTGGTGGTGGTGGGGTGGTGGGGTGGTGGGGTGGTGATGGGTGTGAGGGTGGTGGTGGTAGGGGTGATAGTGGAACAGTGAAAGTGGCAATGGTGGTGATGGGGATGATAATAATAGGGATGGTGATGGTAAGGCGGTTGGGGATAATGGTGGCGGGGTTGCGACAGTGATGGTGGTAGTGGGACGGTGGAGGTTAGGGTGATTATTGTGGCAGAAGTGGTGGTAAGGTGACGTCGATTGTGGAAAGGTGGGGGTGATGGTGGTGGTGGTAAGGTGGCGACAATGATGATGGTTGTAGGGTGACGACGGTGGTGGTAATAGTGGTGGTAGTAGTTGTGATGGTGGTGGTGGTGAGGTGTCAGCAGTAGTAGTTACGGCGGCGACGACGGTAGGGCTATCAAAATTTGACACAATACGATTAACCGACATCAATCAACACAAATTAAGCGGGTTTGGGTGATAAATGGGTTGACACGTCAAACACATTTAATAAACGGGTTGTATTCGAGTGAGACTTGTTAAACCGTTTATCACACTTTTATCTGTTTAAATATAATTAATATAATAACAAATTAATAATTATTTTAAAAAATTATGAAGGAAAAAAGAAGTAAAAAAATTAATAAAAAAAAAGTAAAATAATAGTTCAAAGACAAAAGAGAGAAGATGACGAGCACTTCAAAAACAAAGACAAATCAATGCCTTTTATTTTTGTTCCACATTGAAAAATGAGGGGAGATAGAGATAGTTAAGTTACTTATAAAAAACAATGACCTCTTACTTTTTTAAAATTAAACGGGTGAAACGAGTCGTTTCGTGTTACCCGTTTAATAAACCGAGTCGTGTTCGTGTTGAGATTTTTTACCTGTTTATTAAACGTATCGTGTACGAATTTATATATTTTTCACCCGTCACCCATTTAACTCGACACGTAACCGTTTAATCCGTCACGTTTGATACCTCTAGGCGACGATAGGGGTAGCTGTTGTAACAAAAGTGGTGGTAGGATGACAACAATAGTCGTGGTGGTGGGAGTACTTATGGTGGAATGACAGTGGTATTGGTTATGGTTATGGTGGTAATAGAGGTGGAGGTTGAGATGATAGCGGTAGTGGTAGAACGGTTGTAAATACTACTATTTTTCTTGTAAAAGTATTGATTGGAATTTATAATTTTTAAAAATATTTTTAAAAAATTATCTCAAATACACCTTTAGGACCTATTTTTCATATTAAATTTTATATATTAATATTAACCGTCGGATTAACTTGAAAATAAATTTTAAAGAGATCTCAACCGCGAATAATAAAAATTATTTTATTTAACTTTAAAATTTAAATTATATTATACCTTATTATATAGATATACACAAAATTCCATTCAACGTGAATTAGAATAGTAGATGGCGCATTATCTTAGCAACATTACGTTCCACCTTTCAATTAAAAGGTGCAATTGAGAATCCAAATTCTGCAACTCAAAATAATCCTATGATTCGATAATCTCTCTTACTGCAAGAAACGCATGGGTAAGCAAAATTCATAGGATTTACTTCGTACACATCGTATAGCAATATATATGTAGGCATTAGAGATCATGTTTGCTTTCACCCGCCAAGTGTGAAAGAAATGAAGTTTTTTATTTTTACAATCCACATGTGGTGGTCATTATTGGTTCACTATACGGAAGAAGAATGAGCGTCTCCCAAAAAAAATGCAGAAGAAAAATTCCAGAAGGTGCAAAGAACGCAAGGAATTGTTAGATGAACTGTATCATACAACTTGGTGATCCACGCATTCAGAATCAGGAAAAGGTGGCAGAGCAGAATATCGCAATAAAACTTCCTCAGGTTCAAGCACATAGAGATGTTCCAACAATGGAGTCGTGTTTAGTCCAACAATCCGTACCAACGGGTTTGAGTGCCCAAAAACAAACACATCTGTTATCTGCAGCAACAACATTAAAATAGCTCAAAATCATACAATCTGATAATCAGATACGTATGCAATTACTCCCACTTATGTTACCAAAGCTCTGAATGTCTTACTGGTCTTACTGGTTGTACTGCTCTGAATGTCTTACTGGTTGAAGTAGGCATGCTTCCAACATTTGAAACAAGTTACCTTCCTTAGTGAACACCTAACAGCAACATATATTTCTTAAAACATCCTAAGGTTCGACTTTTCCGCATTTTCTAAATCTAGCCACTGGTCTTTTAGAATTGAAAACTGAATCATCATGACTAAGTTATGGCCACTAACAGAGCAGCTGAAGTTGGCCAATTGATTAAGCGCATAGACACTTTTTTGCCAATGTGCATATATTCTCGGACGTGGTATGGAGCAATACCACTTGCTCATTTGGCGGTACACATCTTTGACCATTTTCAATACCGCTAATGTTATGGTTTTCCAGTATGCATTCGTTGTAGATAGATATAATAGCTATTGGCATGCATACCTGTGTACACCCAAAAAGTTTGAGCAGCTTCAGCAACGAGCAGCTATCCACGATCAATCCCAGTGCCTCGTTAGTTATTCTACGGCACCATGATAGATCCAAACTCAACAACTTTCTTGAACACTTGGCAAGGGACAAGGCAGTATTGAATCCAACCTATTAAGAGTCATTAATGAGTCGAGTGACAAGAAAACGGCCTTTCTACCTCCCTCTCTCTATGGATGTATGATTTCAGAGTTGTGATCCATATCTAAAAATCACATAAATTTTATATCTACTTTGAAAATTGAATTGATCAAAATTTCATTCTTCCAGGGTTGGGGTGGATGCATGTGCATCTTGCACTCTTAGGACAGAACCACCGAGCTTGAGCATAACCCAGAAAAAAATTAAGAAATAAAGGATAAGAACTGGTCAACAGCACACGAAATTGTGCATACTGCCAGCAGTGAGTATTGCATCACTCAAATACAAATTCAGGTAAGGCTCATTCCCTACCTCACGAACATTATTCAGCGAAAGTTCCTTTAAAGACCCTCCGGAAGCTTCCAAGAATGCAGCAATTGCTTCATCACTGCCATGTGAAGAAGTTCTTAAAATTAGATCAATGGTGGAACTGTGAACAACCAGAGAAACCAGAAAAAAAAAATTTTGACATTGCCAGAGGAGCAGTTATGTAATCAGCCATTCAATGTAATTTCAGATATCCAAAAAGGAAAGGCACAACAAGCTGGTATGAATATCGGCCATAGTTTTCAAATCGAGATTCGTATCAGGAATTGAAATATTAGATTTGTGAATTAGGAATCGTAAAATGCGACACAAAATTCGAACAACGGTAAAAAATAACATGTACATATTTACAATAGGTAAGATATTAAATATTAAACATTATTGTATTTTAAAAATAATAATAATCAACTAAAGGTATGACTTGATCACGTCGTTTAAATGAAAAGATGCTATTCTTTACATAAATATTTATAAAACTACACTTGAGTTTGTATCTCTTTCTTAAAGCCTAATAAATCGTTCCCTCAAACCCGCCACGATGAAAGATGAATAATTTTTAACCAACAAATAGTTATTGTTGTGCTACAAATTAAGTTAAACTAAAATAAAAAAAAAAGCACATACTGATTCGAACATTATAAACTTAGAAAATCTCTTCACATTCAATTGAAAAATAAAATTTTGATGAAAAATAAAAAATAGATCATTTATTGAAGAAGAAGTACGGTATGTTAGGATTTGGTTTCTATTTTTAAAGAAGAAAAAGTAGTATACCTGGAGTCGAGGAGATGTCGTCTTTGTGTCATGTTCACAGACGCTTGAACAGTCTCTTGAGAGGCAGAGACACGAACAGGAGATACATGTTTTATAATTTGAAGTAGGCATTTTCAGATAAAACGACGTCATTTTACTAGAAATAGGGTTAAAAAAAATTAAAACAAATCGTGTAATTCCATTGATTTAAATCAAATCGTATAATTCTTGCGATGTGTGATTCTCGGCCAAAAACGATTATGTAGTAAGATAACTCGAATGGAGACAAAGTTGAATAGCAAATTGTACGATTTTGATAACAATGATATCAGCTACAAATTCTACTCTGGATTCTAGCTAGTCACATGGCATTTCATCAAGAAAATAGTGACATTTCAAATGACTTAATTATTCAGTATCATATTTGTTTGATCATATGTTTATAATTGACTAATTTCATAGAGTTCATGAAAATCTCAACCTATTCTATGGTCATGATGCTCCAACGATGAAGATCTGAATGTGTCATTCAAAGAAAGAGATCATACGTCAAAACTACATCAAAAGCACTCTGAATGCAACTTTAAACTTAAGACAAAGATAATGACTTAAATACCTAAGATGATCTCTTAATTTAATAGACTTGGGAGAATTAGAGTTAAATGGAATCAGGATTAATCTGTGTATGGCTCCTAAACAATTTTCAAGAAATTTTTTTCTAAACCGTTATGTTTTGAAAACATAGTTTGAGTTATTATAGGACCCCTCTTTAGCAACACTTTTTAGTGCTCAAGAGGACAAATTATAGGATCCCTCCTGAGCAACACTTTTTAATGTTAAAGAGGACAAATATCACCAGGGACTGTTCTATGCTCACTAGCCTTCGCTAAAGCGTTCTCTTTATAACTTAGGGAAGGTAACATGATTCAAAGTATCGGTCGATATCGATACAAGTCGGCCGAGTTATATCCGTCTCGACACCTTCAGAGACGATATTGTTATACAATACATATAAACCCGAGTCTCGCACAACTTATTTGAGTCATCCAAGTCGTATCCGAATCAATTCTGAGTCGCCAAAATATTGTCACCAAATTGGCCGATACAGTTCCACAATGTCACGATATGACTTAAATTTCTTGTCATACTCATCATTTTCTTTTAGGTCGTATCATCAGATACCACGCCACAAAGCCATGACCGACGTGTCTTAGAGCTCTCCAAATTGATGGCCGATACCGTGACCTTAAACCATGAAAGGAAAAGAAAAAAGGCGAATGGAGGAGATCAGGGCTCACCCTCTGGGGTTGCTCGAGCGGGCCCCATGGTCGCCAAAGCGGTATGCTTTGCTCTCCTAGGTCAGTTTGAAACAAGTTTTTCATTACAGTGACCATCGCCCTCTCACCGATCGAGCAGTCATTCGCCAATTTGAATTTTTTCGTTAACTAACATTGCCCTTATTTCGAACCTATAAATAGGGAGTGAATTTCCCAACCTAAGGTATCTTTTTTGTGAGCTAAATTCTTGCCTCTCACACATTAGAAATCACAACACAACCCTAAATCCCTAAACCCAAGGCTAACATCTAGAGATTCTACCTAACCTTACAATTTGGTGTTGAAGATATTGATTGATTGAAGACCAAACCTATTAGTGTGTGCATTTCGAGGATCGTTGGTGCGCCCAAAATTGCTCAAGGTTTAGAGGATCCCCATGGAGGTGAATTCAAGTAAAGTTATCTAAGACACGCCGAAGAGACCTTTGGCGAATAGGCTTATTGAAGAAATGATCACCTAACCATGGTATTAATTGAGATATAAGACTCAAGTACTTGTAAGGTGATTTTGGAGTAGTGGATTAGATTTTGGTTAGGGGTAGCAATTTTCGACACGATACAATAACTCGACACGACCACAACACGAATAAATAGGTTTGGTTTGATTATATTTTGGCACAAACCCGTGTATGACAAGACACGCCAATACGAAGTGTTAATGGCTCATGTTCGAATTCAACCCGCTCAACCCTACATTGACCCAATTGACCAGTGTATTTAATCGGGGTTGACACAAACCTGCTTAACCCGTTTGAAACCCAAAATTGACCTACCACTAATAAACTAACTTAGTTGGATCCCTAACCCTAACTTCATTTCATTTTCACATTTGATATTTGAGACCTACCTCCCTTTCTCTGTCTCCTCTTCATCTCCCCATCTTGGCATCATAGACATCTCATCCACCAGGACCACCACTAGTATCCATTAGGACCACCACCGTCGGCATCCACCACAATCTCTCTCTGTCTCTCTCTCCCCCTCCCTATTCTTGTTAATCTGTATAAGGCAGTCGACAAATCGACGTGAAACCCTACCATCTCAGATCTAGACTACCGTCTCATATCTAGACAAGAATCTATGGTTCAAACCCATATACCCACATCCATCACCTCCACTCCGACAACCAGTTTCATTATCCACAAGGACTACAACACTACACCATTCATCATCTCAAATCTCTTTTTTTATTATTATTATTCCAAGTATCTTATGTTACATTATTTGGGTGCAATAAGTTTGGGAACTATATGTTGTATGGCTGTGGAGGTGAATATATAGGTGTATGTAATTGTAAACAAGGAGGAGATGGTGAAGTAATGGGGTTGCTTGATTTGGAATGGGTAGTGGGGATTTTTTGCTTGCCAATGTGGAGATAGAGAGAATTGGGTATGGAGTGTAAGTGGAGGTGTGGAGGTAAAAATCGAGTCAGGTTGAGCGAGGTTGGGGGTCATGTTAGGCAAGTTGGGTCGTGTTTACCCAAACACGACCAGCATAAACCTTGGGTCACATATTATGTCGAGTTAATCGTGTTTAGCAATAGGTTGTGTTCATGTCCAGATGACTTGACCTGTTTGACTCACAAGTCATGTTTGGGTTGAGGTGTCTTCAACCCGAACCCGTCATGACACGACACGACGTGATTGTCACCCTTAGTTTTGGTGAATCGCAAAAGTTCCCTATAATTTTTTCCGATGAGGGTTTCCGCATCAACAAATCACTTATATCATTTATCACATTTTCATATACACTTGTGATTTGATGCACACACATGCACTAACTATGTATTTGATTGAATGAATGTTTGAATATAATAATCATCCATAGTTGTGCATCGAAGGGTTTGGGTCTGTAGGATTTGAGTCTCTCTCCTTCTCAAAAAAAATTGAAATCAGAGCGTAGTTGCCCTGAGTTGCACATAAACACTTGTAGGAATATCTTTTTTTTTTTCTTTTTGCTTACATGATTAGTTCGTTTTGTCTTCTAGAGATCTATTGTGACCCTATGATCAGTTGACACCCTAGGTTCATAAATCTAATTTTGACGACCTCCCTTCATTCCAAACACCTCCAGTGACATCCAAAGCTACCTAGAACCCTAAAGTCTAATACCTAATAGCTCCAAACACATTCTTGTACATCTCTAGAGTCAATTTCTTGAATCTAGGATTGTTGGTGATAATGGCTCCAAGGAGAGAGAAAAAGGCTAGGGTTGTGGAACCACAAGAGGAGATCGAGGTTGATTTCAATGAGGGCACCCGATTTCAAACACCAGAATTCAAAAGGAGATACGGAATAGAGTATGCTCTCTAGCCTATTATGATTGAGCAAAGAGTGGATCAAACACTGGTAAATTCATATATTCTGTAAACTTAGCCAATCAAGGGTGTACACACTATTCGATTTGATGACAACATCGTGAGAAAATTTTACACTCACATTCGTGATCCTCATGTGTCACATATATTCAAGGGGTTGAGTTCAAGTTCTCCGTAGATCTCATAGCTACCACTCTTGGCCTGCCTAGGGTTGTCTCGTCTCCATGTTTTGATTACAGAATTGTATGGTGTAAAACATCTTGAACATTGGGTCACTTTGAATTTTTTTCAAAAATATATAACCCCAAAATATAGGATGTTGAATCTCATAGCCAACTACAACATAAAACCAAAAACCCACATCTAAGACTTCCTAATTCAAAAAACACCTGTTATATGCTATAGGGACAAGACTAGATCTTGATTTACTTTTAATGATATTTGGGTATATTCGGAGAGCCTTTTTAGAGGGAAGAGTATCAGATGGTCTGCCTTTTGGATCATTGATAGCTCATATCTACAAGGGCAAAAAAAGTTGTTTTGCCAAGGAATTAATTGTAGTACTCCATAAGACCTTTGAACAAGAGTTCTATGAAGTGAGGTAAGGCTCATGCTGCCTATGTCGTTGTAGTAGAGGAGAGAAGAGAAAATTTGGAGATTCTACATATCAAGACTAGACTTCGTGCACCACCGACTCACCCAAATGTTAGTAGTTCTAGGCCGCCATCACCTGAGTCAGGTTCAGACATCCTAGCAATCAAGTTGGCGCCACTAGTTGACATGCTTACAAGAGTAGAGCGTACTATGGTAAAGCATCACTGCCTCACTTCTCAGAGGTTAAGATACCTTGCATGGAAGGACCGTGAATCTTGAGGAGACCCAACAATCTGTGATGGGATCAATTACATGCAGAGTTGGGAGACTCAAGAAATTGCTGAAGGCGAGCCACCGCCAAATGACATGGATTCAGATCTACAGCTACCCGACGCAATGGTGGACATGATGTAACCATTGGAACTACTTAGAAGACTTTATTTAGTATAGGACCATATGGGAGTTTGAGTGTTTTATTCATTCATGATCTTTACTTAAAGTACGCTATTATTTGTTGTTGATTTTTCCACTTTGTTGACTTCTATTTGTTTTATTATTTTTCGTTTGTTGTGACATCCTCTTAGTCCTTGTATGTAATACTTTATCTTTTAGACTTTTGACTTATATGCATTGTTTGTCTTTTGCTTACTTTACAAGCACGATTTAGCTAGTTGGTTTGTATTTATACTTTTTTATTATACCATGATTCTATGTCACGCTTGTTATGGATAGTCATTGGATTGACATTTGAAATAAATAAGATAAGAATATTTAGAAATAACTTAATTTTGTACCGTGATTGTGATGGGTTATCATTGGATTGGCATTTGTGACAAAAAGGGGAGAATATTTTAGGTACATATGGAAGCATTTGGGAAAATTTACTCTTGACTAGTCTATGTAAATTGCATGTGAATAGAGTGAGGAGGAGTTTGTTCTAATACTTTGAGCGTACATTTACAAACATGGCATGGAGTTACCTATTTTACTTTTTTATTTTATGCTTGATATTTTAATAGTAAACACCAACATGGGGGATAAATTGATGTGATTGACATTGATATATGAATAGGTTCCCAAGCATATTGGGCAAAATAGTTCTTACACATGTTACACATTTACCTTGCTTGATGTTAATATGAATATGCCCTATGCTTATCTTGGTGCTTACCATACCGGTGATTATCTTATATAATTCTCTAATATACGATATTTTTCACGAGATTTTAATTTGAGTGGTAATGTGCAAGATTATGATCTACAAGCTACATCTAAAGAAATAAATCTTGTACTTAAATAGAGATTTAGAACATTTACATGAATGTTGAGATTAGTTTACAATTCGTTTTGTTCTGGTTTGCAAGTTGTAATCTTAATTTCTTACTTGTATATTCTGTCACAGAATTGACAAACGGAAAGATTGTTAGATCATATGTTTGTAATTGGTTAATTTCGTGAAGTCCATGTAAATCTCAACCTATGTCATAGTCATGATATGCTTCAACATTTGAAGATTTAAAATCGTCATTGAAAGATGAAGATATGCGTCAAAGCTATATCAAAAGCACTCCGAATGTACCTTCAAACCTAGAACAAAGATAATGACCTAGATACCTTAAATGATTCCTTTGTTTAATAGAATTAAGAGGAATAGAGTTAAATGAAATCGGAATTAATTTGTGTACGACTCCTAGGTGATTTTTTTTTTTAAAAAAAAAAATTTAAACCGTTTTCTGTTTTGAAAACATAGTTTAAGTCATTATCAGACCCCTCTTGAGCAACGCATTTAGTGCAAGAGAGGATTAAGTTTTTTGCTTAGTTTTAAGCTTAAAAAACTAGGAAGGACCGTCCTATGCTTGATAACCTTTGCTAGAGTAGTCTCTTTATGACTTAAGAAGGGAAAAATGAAAAGGCCAAATGGAGGAGATCAGGGGTCGCCCCTTTGGGTCGCTTGAGAGGTTTGCTCTCCTAAGTCGATTTGAAACAAGTTTTTCATTCCAGTGACCACCACTAGGAGTGGGCAGCGACTCTAACAGAGTCGGAAGGCATGAATCCGACCTACAACTCCCGCCCTACATTGCCTCCACCTACGCCAATCGAAATCGAAATTAGAGCAGAATGCACAAATTTCAAAAGCAACCAAAAAAAAAAAAAACCCCAGACAATGCACAAATTTTATAAACACATACATACACACACACACAAACACATATATAGAGAGAGAGAGATTTATTGTTCGAGGTATCCCAATGGGCCATGTGAGAGCTTCAATTGTGAGTTCTCAGATCTGAGACCTCAAATATGTGCTTCAATCGGAAGGGTTGCTATTGTTGATTTGGATTTGTGGACTCTTTCTCTATGCTTTAGGTTGTTGACGAGTCCATAGAACGATAGAGTGAGAGAAAAAGAGAGAGAGATAAAAAAATGGCTTACGAGGACAGTCCACCGTCGATGAAGTGAGATGGTGAGAGAGACAGAATGAAACAACGAAAAATAAGAATGGGGGGCGGTAATGTTAACAATTATTAGGGTTTAGGTGGAGATTTAAGATAGGGCTTTTATATTTTGATATAATATATATATAATTTATATAAAATTATTAATAAATGTCAGAATCGGAGTTTTTTAGAAATCGATTTTAGACATCGATTCCAACTCCCACTCTGACAAACTCTAACTCCAAAGGAGGTGAAGTTGGTCCAGAGTAGGAGTCGGTGTTGGTGTCAAATTTTCAGATAGTTACACACTCCTAACCACCACCCTCCCACCGGTCGTTTGCAAATTTGAGTAGTCTTCTTAACCAAAATTGCCATTATTTCGAGCCAACAAATAGGGAGTGTCTTTCCCAACCTAGGGTATCTATTTTTGTGAGATGAATTCTTGTCTCTTACACCTTAGAGATCACACCACAACCCTAGATCCCTAAATTCAAGGCTACCATTTAGAGATTCTACCCAACCTCACAACTTAGTGCTGAAAATCTTGAGTGGTGGAAGACCAAACCCATTGGTGTTTGCATTATGAGGAATTGAGGATTGTTAGTGCACCCAAGATTGCTCCAGGTCTAGAAGATCCTCACGGAAGTGAATCCAAATGAAATTATCCAAGATGTCGAAAGAGGCATTTGGCGAAGAGGCTTATTGAAGAAAGTAGCATCTAACCATGGTATTGGTATAGGTATAAGACTCAAGTACTTGTAAATTGATTTTGGTGTAGTGGATTAGGTTTTACTAAACCGAAAATGTTCCTCGTGGTTTTTCCCGAAGAGGATTTCCACATCGACAAATCACTTGTGTGATATCGTATTTTCATTTACATTTATGATTTGCAGCACACACGCGCACTATGTGTTTGATTGAAGAATGTTTGAATATCATAATCATTCATAGTTGTGCATCCAAGGGTATGGGTCTTTGGGATTTGAGTTTCTCGTGTGTGATTGAGTGTTTGAATGTTTAATTAATAAAATTAACAACATCAATCTACATGGGTTCATAAGGTTGTGCTAGTTAAAAAAGGGGTTATCACTTTTAATTGACTAATCATTGTGAAAAGAGGTAATCTTGGTAGTAAAAGGTTTTAACTTGTGATTGATTAAGCATAAAGTTCAAAAACCTATTCACCGTTCCCCCCCCCCCTTTTAGTCAATGTCTTACACTCCACACGTATAATCATGGGGAAAGATCCACAATTATCTCCCCCTCCCACAACAACAATATTATTAGTGACCACCCCTTCCTAAACCACCTTCAATTATCATTAACTCACATTCCAATCAAACAAATGTCCATTAGGCTTCCATGATATGCATATTCCGGTGAATCTATCCAAAACTTTCCAGTCATTCATTTCATTATATTTGTCTCAGCAGCATTGGCAACATGTATTCTAGTGAACCACACAACTCTACCATGAAGCAAAGACCGTTCATTGATGACTGCCCATTTGATAACTATACTTATAATGTATATCTATCACACACTCAACTCCCCCACATTACTGATGATTAAGCAGTTCAAAAATGGTTCCTTCAATGGACAACTGGATCATCACAGCTTCAAAAGCTATCATATCCTAAAAAGTTGCTTAGTCATCAACCAATTCAGCACAAGGTAACAAGTACTCTGAAATTTCACCATATGCTTGATAAAATATTATGCTAGGTAAGACCAAATGGCAACAGAATTCCATTATGTTTCCTCTGACATGAGCATGCATTACAATTTACACTTGCATCAGAGCTAGATATTTAGAACCCGACAAGGATTAAAAAATAGAACCAAAACATGACATAATTCAAAGCTAATGGACTGACTATGACATATACTACATTTAGTGTATGCACTTGGAAGTCATGAATTATATATATACTAGGGGTAACCCATACTTTAAGCACGGTGCAATGTGAATGGTTTTGAGAGGGATGTTGGATGAGTCTATTTGAGACCGTCGGATGAGCTTATTAAATCTTGCCCTGTTTTATATATAGATATATAGATATATATAGAGAGAGAGAGAGAGAAAACAGAAACCTGAATTTATTGCGGCAAAGTTTGAGGGTTTGAATTGATCTACAGCCATTGGCAAGATATTGAATTCCCATATCTGTCAATCTATGCAAGTTCGAGATGTTAAGAGAACATAACTCGGAACAAGTATTTCCAATGACTTTCATAGAATAATTGGTCAGTTTCCTGCATTGAATGAAGAAAAGACTATAATTGATGAAACATAAACTGACTTCAAAATTATTCAGCTCCAAAATGGGGAATTGAATTAGTAAAATAACTTACGGGCAATCAGCCAAATCAAGCTCTTTTATACTGCTACCACATGCAGTGATAATGTCACTAACAAATTCATCACATACAGTTTCAATTCCTGCTACTGACAAGAGTTGCAAATGTCCAAACTTCTTAAATGCCGGCGCAATGTTCATAGCATCTACACTAGGGCAATAGTCCAAGTAGAGCTCCCTCAAAATGGATCCCAAAGAATCAGCTAGAGTGTAAATACTAGTTTGTGTCAGAAGCGAGCACTTGCCCAGATTTATAGACTGCAGTGAGGGTGCTGATGCAACAAGTGCTTTCAGCCCAGTATCAGTTAGACGACATGCTCCCCTCAGAGATATAATACCTAAACCAGGCAAGCAATTTGAAGACCGAGTTAAGGTTTTACCAAATACGTAATCAAGCACACATTGTCCACACAGGTCAAGTTGAAGCACCTGCAACCATAACAAAGTAAGTATTAAAATTGACCAACATAATCAATTAAAACAACAATACGATGTGACTTTGAACTTGTCCATTTTGCATTTCCTGTTAGGTGCCCAAAAGTGAAAATTAGGGCTTTTTCAAAACTCAAAAGTCAGCCTAAATTTTTAACCAGGTCAATAACCTTTAGGTTCTTGGTGTTCAATTAATTTGCCAAAAGTGGGCCACCATTAGCTACAAGCATACAAGTACCTGTATAAGTTGAATGATTAGCAGCCATGTCTGACAGTTACAAACACAGGCACACACTACCATGGACACAAGCCAGCACAAGCAAATACACCAAAAAGAAAAGAAAATAATTATACCAAACTTTTTGATCAGCAGAAAAGAATTTCATCTGTAGTAGAAAAATAGTAAATGAGGGACAAGTAGTTTACAATTAAATAGAGTTAGAAAATAAAAATACAAGTTACATATAATCTATGGGTAATTATGCCAAGTTGCAATCTCCCACTCCACGAAAACCATGCCCCACCAGTGAAATCTAGTCATAGACCTGAGAAATGCACTTAAGACGCAGTATTTTTATGTTAACACTATCCCGATCCGACTTATCTCACTTTATCTCTCTTTTCCCCATTCTTAAGAATTGTTGATTCATCGTCCCCCTTTCTCAGTCGAGATTGTTGAGGGAGCTAGGTTTCAGTGTCAAAATCTTATTAACACAAAGTGTTGTTTTTGTTGGAAGCAAGCTTGTTAAAACATGTATCGAAAAGCATATCATTTTTTAAAAACAGTGAATCGCGTATCGTAGCATATCATGTATCGAAAGATACATGCAATTTTATAAGATATATTTAAAAATGCATATACCTATGAAAAAGGTCATAATTGAAAACATTGATCATAAAAAAGATCATGTAAAAGAAACGAGAGAAAATATTATATCAGTTCCATAAGTCTGTAACAAGTTCCTTACCTAAGATACATAGTAAAGGTCCTCAAATAGAAAGGCAACACAAAGCAAAGAAAATGATTAAACTAACTCTAATACTAAATATACTAGACTACTCTAACACCCCCCTTCAAACTCATGGTGTGGTAGCTAAAAAAATAAAGATTTTGCTAAGAAGAAAATGAAAACGTGCTATAGTGTGAATTGTCATAAAGAGATCAGCTAATTGTATAGTACAAGGCAGAAAAAGGGAGAGAAATTGTGTCAAGCTGAAGATGATGGCGCATAAAGAAACAGTCAATCTCAATATACTGAGTATACTAGTGGAAGACCAAATTGTGAGCAATCTGAATAGTATTGGTATTGTCAAAATAAATATGGGTAGGAGTACATAAAGATATGCCAAGTATTGGTATATCATCGTAGTATTGGTATTGTCACAATAAATAAGGGTAGGAGCAATCTGAATAGTATTGGTATTGTCAACAAGCTATCATCATAACCATACTATCTTTGCTGCGGTAGATGTCATAGCACGATACCCTGCTTTAGCTGAAGAATGAACAACTACTATTTGTTTCTTGGTTTTCTAGGAAATAAGAGAACCACCGAAAAAGATACAGAAACCAGTGATAGATTTACGATTCATAACATTGCCAACCCAATCACCATCAAAGTAAGCGCTAAGATCCATAGAAGATGAGGAAGAAAATAAGAAACTCTGATGCACGGTACCTCAAAGATGCCGAAGAATGTGTAGAACACCAGCCTAGTGAACAGTGGGAGGTGATGCAACAAATTGACTCACAATGTGAACAGTATAAGAGATATCCACGCAGACATCAATAAGATCGACCAAACTTCCAATAATAGTGCAATATAGTGTAGGGTCTACCAAGAAAGTTCCATCAGTAGAACACTGCACATTAAGCTCCATGGGTATCTCAACTGTCTGATTATCTGATAAGCGAACACCCTGAATAATATCTGAAGCATACTTAAACTAAAAAAAGAAGATAGTCAGTGGGAGAAAAAGTAATCTCAATCCCCAAGAAATACCCAAGGTAAGCTAAATCTTTCATCTCAAAATGATCCTACAACTGATGTTCCAAAAGTTGTATGCTAGAGGTGTTATCACTTCTAATAATCATATCATCAACATAAAGTACGAGAATAATAAAATCAGAAGCGGTGGATCACAGAAAGAGCAAAATCATATAACTGCCACGAAAACCAAATCACAGATGACCAAAGAAAACTTGGCAAACTAAGCTTTGGGAGCCTGTATAAGGCCATATAAAGCCTTGTGAAGCCCTACATACTTGACTAGAACTATGATCCAACCAAACCAAGAAAATAAGTCATAAACACCTCTTCAAATAAATCTCCATGAAGAAAGACATTTTGCGCATCCATTTGAGACAAACTCCATTGACAAATGACAACCACTATAATAAGAGTGCATACAGTGGTCATCTTGACAACTGGAGCAAAAGTGTCATCATAATCTAGGCCATGCTCCTGAGCAAATCCCTTGGCTATAAGGCAAGCCTTATACCTTTCCACAGAACCATCAGATTTGGCTTTGATTTTATAAATCCACTTACAACCGATGGTGTGTTTCTCGGGAGGCAAGGACACCAACTCCCAAGTTCGGGTTTTATGTAGAGCAAATAGCTCATTATCCATAACTTAGTACCAAAGAGGATCAAGTACAGCCTACTTATAGGAAATGGGTTCAAAAAGAGAATGAATGAAAGTTAGAAATGAACAAAAATCAGAAGAAAAACAAGAGTTAGAAAAACCAAACCTATCTGGATGCTTTCGAGAGCGCTGAGGATAGCGAGGGGGAGGATCCACAATATGAGAACCTAGTTGAGTAATAGGATGTAAAGAGGGACGTACTGCATCTATAGAATTGGCAATAGGAGTCATGCAAACATAAGTATGCACAACATGAATAACAATCAAATTAGAAAAAAAGGAAGAGAATGGTGGGTCAAACACAGTAATATTATCAACATGTGTTATTGGGAACATCAGTAGGAAATAGACCAATATTAATAAGATCAAATCTAGTGGAGAGAAGGAACTAGATGGAATCGAAAAGAAAGGAATATATTCCATAAATACAACATGACGAAAAACATATAGCTTACGTGTAATAGGATCATAGCAATAATACCCCTTTTTACCCTCCTTATAACCAAAAAAGATACACAAGGCTGAATGAGCAGAAAGCATGGTACGAAAAACATTAGGACATTAGGAAGTAAGACAAAGCAAGTACAACCAAACACATGCAAGTAGAAATAATCGGATGCCTTACCACATAATTTTTCGAATAAAGATATATCGAAAGTGAGAATAGTAGGAATGCAATTGATCAAATGAATTGCTGAGAACTGCTTCTCCCCAAAAGGAACTAGGGACATTTACTGACAACAAGAGAGAGCGAGTTGTCTCTATACTATGGTGGTGTTTGTGCTCAGCAACACTATTCTACTCAGGTGTGTTAGTACAAGAGGAATGATAAATAATACCATCAGATTACAACAAATCACGAAAAGACGTCAATGAATATTCACCTCCTTGATTACATCAAAAACATTTAATAATAGAGGAATACTAAGTGTGTGCGATAGCACGAAAAGTAGTGAATATGGAAAAGAACTCTGACCAACGTTTTATTAAATATACTCAACAGTACCCGATGTGAACATCAATGAAAGAGACATAATATATAAACCCTCCTTCTGTAGTCATAGGAACAGATCCCGAAGTGAACAAGATCAAATAGTGCAAGAGAGATAGTTAAACTATTATTAAAAGGCAATATAGTGAATTTTGCTAACTTGCATCCACTACAATCTGAAATGTTAAGACACTGTAAACTTCTCAAATTACCAATAGAAGTCAAAATTTTTAAACGTGAATTAGAAACATGACCAAGACAAGAATGCCACAAATTAAAATTACACAACTGTGGACTTAGACGAAAAGAAGATAAATCAACAATGGAAGTTACAAAATTTGGAACATGTAGCTCCTCCAACACATCCAATCCTCCCTTTCCACGGCTTGTGTCAATCAATTTCTTGAACCGTGGATCATGCACAAAACAACTAAAAGAAGAGAAATAAACTACGAATCCAGAATCAAAAAGTTGACTAACTGAGATTAAATTCAAAGTAAGCTGGGGAATGTAATAGACATTTGAAAGAGTAAGTTGGAAAGAAATATCAGCCCCAATACCAGCCAAAGACATTTGAGTCCCATTTGCTACAAGTACAGATATTAAAGGAGGAGAGATAATAAAAAAAAATAAAGATGAATAACTAGTCATGTGATGTGTGGCACCTAAGTCAAAGACCTAGGCGGTTCGGCTTATACCTAAGGGATCTAAATGAAACACACTTACAGAGGTGGAGACTGTGAGAGCACCATGCTTAATGAAAAGAGAAAACCTTCTGCAACTGATCAACAATGGTCAATTGATATATCCACCGGTGGTGCAATTGATATATCCAGTAATACCCGTGCATTCTTATTCACCAATTTAGGGCATTGAACTTTCCAATGGCCCTTTTTACGACCAAATCTACACTCACTTGAAGTCACTCCACCCTAGTATTTATTGTGTGAATTAGTAGTCTCTTTAGAATGATAGTTGTCACCAATTAGTCTCACACATGGTTCAAAATATCGGTCGATAACAATACGAGTCAGCTGAGTCATATCCACCTCGACACCTTCGGAAACAATACCGTTACACGATACATATAAACTCCGAATCTCGCACAACTTGTCCGAGTCAATCCCGAGTCGCCGACTTGGCCGATACGGTTCCACGATGCCGCGATATGACTTAAATTTCTCGTCATGTTCATCATTTTCTTTTAGGTCGTATCATTCAATACCGCGCTGCGACGCCGTGACCAACGTGTCACGGAGCTATCTGAATTGATGGCCGATACCGTGACTTTGAACCATGGTCTAACAACCATGGCCTGAAGAGAATCATAGTGTCCACTTGCCATAATTTTAACAGAA